CCCTCACAAGTACCAATAATGAGGGGTGTTTTAATTTTACAAACCGGAGATTAGTGGTCCGTTCGGGGTGTGACCAGCATTGGATTTCAAATACATAAAAATACACAACTATTTGTTTTCTAAATTGTGTGATGTGAAAGAAAATAATGGTAGTGAGTCAATAAAATTTTGCAACTATGTATGTTTTAAGCACTTAAATGCTTACTTTTGTATACATCGTCATTAAAGATTGGCTGCAGCTACAACGATCTGTTAAGACCCAAATACTGGTAAGCACCTTTCCTACCTCCATGATATGTTGTTCTCCCCGCAGCTAAAAATCCCAAACAACATCGTTTTTGTGTATAAATCACATTACATAAACTGCTTGATAAAGGAATTAAAGAAATTCCTCGAATGTGACATACCGAATTAGACTTAACACAGGTTTTATACTTACACGAGCAACACGACGGGTGCCACATATGGAGCAGGATCTTCTTGTCCTTCCGGAACATATGAGATCCCCCGGTGTTTTTTTTTTTTGGGGGGGGGGGGGGGTTCGTCTTGCTCATTCTTTAATTTTCTAAGTTGTGTTTTTTTGCAATGTTGTTTGTCTTTTCGTCGATTTTCGTTTTTGCCATGGCATTGTCAAATTGATTGTTTTCGATTTATGAGTTGAAATATCCCTTTGGTATCTTTCGACTTTTTTTTGTACCCACACAACGGTCTTTCATAATAACACATATGACTGTCTTCACATGTGGTTCAACAGAGGTTAGTCGATACTAGCGCTATTACTGAATTTACTATATGGTAAACCTTTAGATGAGAAAAACTGACCGATGCCGAGATTGTCTTGGAATACAGGTTATTCGAATAGAAAATCAGACAAAAACAAACTACAAATGTTATCAATACAGTTCGATAGGATCTGATTTGTCACTTGTACTGGTTCCGACTTATATAAGACCATAAAATTATAAAGAGTCGGACTTGTTTATTGAACGGATCATAATTTATTTAAGAATAATGGAAGGGTCTGGTTATCAAGTGCACTGGTCCTTTATCATATAGGATAAAAAGGAATAACACAAATGTCAATGTACTGTTTCTAATTTAAAATTCCGAAGCTATTATCAGCCCAATAGACTGTACTTCGGTATCGAAATGACAATACAGATATTGTTTTATTTACTGATTTGTATGATTCATATAAATTAAGGAATGTATCTCCTTCATGCTAGCTATAATTTCGTGTTTCGTCTTTTGCTATACTTTTTGGGTTTTTTTTTGTTTTGGTTTATCATCTCTTCAACATTTGTGTGTATTGTTATTTTTTTTTAATATTTTAGTATCGATCATCATAATTCATCACTGATAATACTTTATTTGTTAAAATTTACATCTGGTCAGTTAAGTAAGAAACGTTAATGCTATTTCAAAGGATTTCATAGCGTTTAAATTTGTAACTATTTCATCATTATGTCATTTAATAATATTCTTTCACCTTATACCATTCATTTAGACTCTGAGCGTAATCAATATGTCTTGAAATCTTGAAAATTGTAAGGAAACTATAAACTTTTATCATCGATTTCACCTTGAACATTCCGTTCAATGAGGTATGGGTAGGTTCACTGCTCTCTACGATTTTAAAATACTGTGTGAAAAAATAACTACAATACAATACTGTTTGATATGTCTATAACATTTTCCGCAATGAAGACATCCAAAGTGGAAGTTTAACTTTAAAATCCGAGATGTTGGGACTTTGAAGGTAAACAATTTTTCAGGACTTAAAGCTGGATACGAAATGAATTTAAACCAAACAGAAGTTCTCTCACTAAATAATTTAAAATTTGGTGACTATGTTGACCGAACGCATCTATCCCATCGAACTTGAGATAAAGGATCCAACAGATACAGTTACGTCTGCCACATATCTTGACTTACATCTAGAAATTGATGATGAGAGTCGGTTGAAAACAAAACTTTACGACAAAAGAGATGATTTTAGCTTCCCAATTGTGAACTTTCCATTTCTATGTAGCAACATTCCAGCAGCGCCTGCATATGGAGTATATATCTCCTAGTTGATACGATATTCCAGGGCTTGTATTTCCTATCATGATTTCCTTGATAGAGGATTGCTGCTCACAAGGAAGCTATTAAACCAAGAGTTCAAAGTAGTGAAGAATATTGATATTTGAGAATTTCATACATTGTTAATTGTTTCCCTTTGGACTATAATTATGGAAGCGATAGATTCTTAAAATTCTCAATCCCAACATTTGCCATTTTTAATTTACATATTTTTCTCGTAATCTACCGTCAAATTCACAGTTGACATTTCGTAACTAAGAAGGCGCCATGTTGACTTCCTGAAATCAGTAAATGTGCGAATAATGCAATATAATAGAAAATAAAACAACAGCCACACATTTTAATGCAATATTATCCTAATTTGGAGGGTTAGCGAAACGGAAAAACCTTCAGCTTTGGATTTTTAATTCGTATCAAGTCAGGTTTTGAAATGACTTTAATGCGCGAAAAACATTAATGGAATTCGCAGAATTTTATTTTATTTTGATTTTGTAAAATTTTCCGAGCTCTAATGCATTAATTATTGTTGTTATGCCTCAGATTTAGAATAAAAGTACTGTATTTTTGTTTTCAATTGCAATTTGTAACACAGCGAAATCGGCATAGCGTTTGCACATAGGTTACGATACATGTAGATTTACGTGGGAGGTATTTTGTAACAGCCATTATTATGTACATCTCTGCGTCTGTGCTAAGTAAAAGCGAAAGAAGCACGTCATATTAGAATGATTATTATACACGTTATAGAAAACGAAGAACATCAACCGTCATTATACTGCATACCAAAACTTCACAAAACTCTTTATAAAGAACGATACATAGCTGGATCATCAAGAAGTTCAACTAAACATCTTTCTAAAGTGCTGACCACTATTCTTTCTACAGTAAAAGATGGCCTTCAAAAATATTGTGATGAAATATATTCAACCAGTGATGTCAATCAGATGTGGATTCTTAAAAACTCTAAAGATCTACTGCTAAATCTTAAATCTCAATCTCTGCAATTTTGCAGCAACATTAAAACTTTTGATTTTTCTACGCTTTACTCTACTATTCTCCATGCTAAATTGAAAGAGCGACTTCACCATTTCATCAAACAGAGTTTTTTTTCTATAAAAATGGGAATCGTAGATATACATTTCCTTTTTTGGGTTATAATAGTTCTTATTTTGTGAAGAACCACACTGATTCTATCAGAAAATATACTAAAGAAGATATTATCAAAATGCTGGACTTTTTGATCGACAATATATTTGTTGGGTTTGGAGGATTGATATTTCAACAGACAGTCGGTATTCCGATGGGTACTAATTGTGCACCCCTACTGGCCGTTTTTTTTTTGCATTCGTATGAAACAGAATTCATTCAGAACCTTCAAAAAGACAAAAAAAAAAAAGCAACTCGTGAAAATCTTTACTTTTACCTTCAAATATATTGATGATGTCCTATCACTGAATAACCCATATTTCAGTCAGTACTTACATCTCATATATCCCAGTGAACTTGAAATTAAGGATACTACTGATACTAGAAGGACCTTGATCTTTTCCTCTATATTGACACAGATGGACGTCTTCACATTAAAATCTATGACAAACAGGACGATTTCAACTTCCCAATTATCAATTTCCCATTTCTCAGCAGTAACATACCTTCTGCCCCATTGTATGGGGTTTACATATCTCAGATAATACGTTACGCTCGTGCATGTTCATACTATAAGGATTTCATATACAGGAGTGTTCTCCTTACTCAGAAACTGCTTAAACAGAGTTATGAGGAGGAAAGATTAAAAATGACACTCCGTAAAATTTACAGACAACATCACGATTTGATTAATCTCTACGATGTGTCTGTGTCTAAACTAACTAACGACATTTTTACCACGTCTTAGATTGTGGTTTTACCATCTACGTCGTCTGGTCTGCTAAGTACCGAACGTGACCTATTCCCGAATATGACTGTTTTCCCGAGTGGGAATTCGCATTGCTATTAGACGTGACTCGGTATTTATACATCCAACATTCATGTATTTAGTTATGATGTTTCGTTTGTTATTTTAGTTGGATATTGTGTTATGTCTTATCGTTTGTGGTTTGAATTCTATTTTTATTTTCTACATGTATGTAAAAGTTACGATAATTAATCAGCTAGTTCATTATATGCTTTTTGGTTTAAAGCTACTATATGCACAGGATTAATTTGTTTTTACAGTTTTGATTTAGAAGAAAAATCGACATGGTTAGAAAATATAAATAATTATGCCATTACTAACGCAATTCTATATTAATATTCTTGTAATGGTTAGAAAATACATAAAGTAACACCATTACAAACTTAATCCCAAATTTATATTCTATTTTTAGAAATTTACATGTGACGTCACTTTTTGTGGCGTTGATACTTCTTGTGACGTATAATTCCATTATGGTGTAAATGAGAGGTGTCCGTTGTTATTCTGTGGTTTACATGTTGTAATGTACTATTATATTATTTATTTATGCATGTCTCTGTCCTGAGTGTTCTTGCGTCTAGTTGTAAAAGAGGGGCGAAAGATACCAAAGAGACATTCAAACTCATAAGTCGAAAATAAACTGACAACTAATGTATTTCTGTCACGTAATGTTGTCATTTTAGCGGTATTTTTAACATTGCCATATAAGCGAGAGGTTTGGCTAAACATAAAACCAGGTTCAACCCACCATTTTTTCTTAAAATGTCCTGTACCAAGTCGGGAATATGGCAGTTGTTGTTAAATAGTCTGTTTCTTTGTATGTTGGCGTTTGTTTTTGTAGCAGTTCAGTGTTTATGTTGTTCCGTTGTTTTCCTTTTATAGTTGACGTGTTTCCCTCGGTTTTGGTTTGTGACCCGGATTTGTTTCATTTAAATCGATTTATGACTATTGAACAGCGGTACACTACTGTTACCTTTATTTATAGTATGTTACAAAATAATTTTGAAAGTTTGAGTCAATGCGATGATCATGCATTTGGCAGCTAACTCACTTTAAAAAAAAAAGTGTAAATATTTGCATCAAAACCCCTGTGTATACCTTTGAATTGGGTGTTCTAATTTAAATGTAAAATTTGTTGGTGTACACAAACTTACTGTATAAAATCTCCCTTAAAGCTAACAATTACAAGAAAGTCTATTTTGGAAGTTTATGTTTAATAAATCTACTATTCTAGCGATTTATGATTTAGAGGCCTGAAACAGGATAATACTATCATACGTTTATTTTCTTTACTGTAAAACGGGAACGTATTAAAATCAAATACACACAATGAAATATCGATAAATAGAATAAACGTCTAGTTCCTGAAACAGCAGCTGTAGCACAAATGTTATTGTTTAGTGGGTGGATATGCTAGATCCGGGGCTGGCTGTGCAAAACTGCTTGGTTGTCAGTACTGTGGTTGACCGTATGCAGGCGGTTGTCCATAAGCTGGCTGTCCATACTGTTGTTGTCCAACTACTGTGGTGTGGGCACCTGGATGTGCTACAACAGTTCCAACGGTACCTTTCTTCGCTGTGTACAAAAACATTTTCAAGTTAATTCAAGATAAAGTTTTATAAGTATAGGAGTGTGATATGATAGCCAATGAAACAACTATCAAGAACAGTCCAAAAGACGAGGATGAAAATGACTTTAAGTCACCACCAATGAGCAATATCCAAATCGTAAAAAAGGATATGAAAGTCTCTGACCTGACAAAAAACAAGAGCCTGATTTATGATTAAAACAACAGCCTAGTTTATGCTTAAACCTATTCACAAAAACAGAACAGAATACGGCAGACAGCAACCAACGACTACCACTGAATCTCATCCTCCTGAATTGAGATTAACACATCAAGAATTTTACAGGGTTAAACATGATTGCGAGCGCTCAATCCATCCATAACTTGGGACAGTGGTGCAACAGAACAAATCGTAAGATATGTCAGATCAACACGAAGCAAAGAAGAAAAATCTAACAAATGACAAAAATTACCCAAAAAATTATCGATCTTAGAGTTCTCGCAGTTACTGACAGCTAGCTCAAAGCTGGTTTCAACTAATAAGAGACTCAAATATCAATCAGTACACACAAAACGGATTTAGTGTAAAGGCGTCTTAAACAGTCTTGGAAAAGCATGACATTAAAAGTTTGGACAGCATATAGAACTATACTTGTTCGTGACTGTATAACAAAATTTGTTTAGTTTATCGAGGGTTCGTGTTGCTCAGTCTTTAGTTTTCTATGTTGTGTTTTGTGTGCTGTTGTATGTCTTTTGGTATTTTTCTTTTTTGGTCATGGCGTTGTCAGTTTGTTTTCGACTTCTGAGTTTGAATGTCCCTCTGGAAACTTTCGCCTCTCTATAATTGACTTGATCATTTTATGAATGTTTCATTTTAGTGTACACATGCACATATAAAGTTTTTACAATATTGTAACGATTAAAAAACATTGTTCAAAAATATCATCTGTATTTCATGTGCAAAGATTACCCCACTACAAATTTGCAGAGCACATTTTTTGGAAACTTCTGAAACCCAGCTTCAGCATCGGTAATTGTCTCCTTCTTTGAAGACATTTTCTCTTTATCAGTTTAAACTTGATTTGTTTTAAGTAACCGTTGTATTCAATAATGCTTCAAACCTCAAGCATATTTCTTTAAATGAATGTATATATGTCCATTTTATTTCATTTACGTAAATTATTAATTTCGGCGCTAATTCGTCGTCTCTCGATATCTAACACGAGTTTGAAATAATGTGAATGAATCTGCTGAAATCACCTAAATAAAATGCGAATTTACTTTGATAATCACCTTTTTCAAGAAATCATTATCTGTTGTCTAACTCTAGTTAATTGAACCAATTAAATCTTTTTTCGATTTGATTTTGCTTGTACATGCGTATACTTAAATAAGCTTACATCTGCAGCAGAGGTATATGAGGACGATGAAAAAAACAAGACCAACTATAGCTCCAATGCAGGCTCCAACTAATGTTCTGAAAACAGAATATATTTCAAGTTTGTCAAAGATACATACACGAGCAAATAATTGAATACAGTAGTATCAAACTTTCTTTAGAGCGAGTCATAAAACAATCATCGTCTGATAAGTTGAGTTGTAGAACTGTCTATATCATTATGAACATTTCTTTAAAAGCTCAAGTAGTCCTTGTCAATCATCAAAATAGATTTGTAGAGAAAAACAATAACAGGCCAGTAAGTGTCTCCCTCGATACTGACAATGTATAAATGTGTTTTTATAATTCAAATTTGTGAGTAAAATTTACTGGTTTATTCATCTTTACTTTATAATCTATCATGTAACAACAATTACCATATGATTAAATAACTAATAATAAATTTAAATACACTCATTATGATGGCATGGAGGCAAATCTAAGGGTTATGTATACCTTATAGAAATTTAAACGTTTCAAAGTTCATCGTGTTAATTATCATGGTGCGTTCATTGTCCATATAACATGCAGTAGTCATCGTGCAATAATTATCCATGAAAACACTCATCTATCATCGTCCATTTATCATTTGATGTGCATTCATCTCCTTACGTATAATCAGTTTGAATTCCATAGGGTCTCTACTTAAAGGGGCATAAGTTACGAATTCGCCAACATTTTTATCTTATTTCAAACATTTATAAGTGCAGAATATAGAAAGTAAATTTCGCTATTAGCAGTCAGTTTTGTTCAATTTCGTCAAAATAAGCTCACAAATTTTCACTGGTGTATTATTGACTTGCGAGTTAATAATTCAACTCATGAATCTGTAGTCATGCAACCTTTTAATTTGACATTTAGAGGAGATGTGTGAGCACATGACCATCAGTAGTCTCATTCTTTAAAAAAGAAAAAAAATGTCAACATTAAAAAGGGAAATTAGGAAGCAACCAGGAATAAACATTTCGTGGACTGATCCGGCCCACAAAAAGTCATTCTTTTACAGGTAAAACAATGATTTACATATATTTTAAAGCTATAATATGAAATCAAACAAACCTAGAAAAATAGGATAGCACGTGTTCCCTATCTATTATTTATGTTTTAATCGGATTATATCAGAGAGAGAGAGAGGCGAAAGATACCAAAGGGACATTCAAACTCATAAGTCGAAAAAAAAACTAACAACGCCATGGCTAAAAAAGACCGTCGGCAGTCTTCGGAGGTCATCTCGATGGTTAATTAGATGACGTCTAGGCTTAAATACGTACGAAATGCCAATACATTATAGCGAGCCCATGCATTGTTAATTGTTTCTTTTATACTTTTTTGTAATTTGGATTTTCGTTTTAGTATGTTATAAATAAAATATGAGAATTTGGGTCAAATTGGTGAACATGAATTTGACAGCTCATGCCCTTTCAATCAACAAAACGACTCAAAAAATACTCAAGACATTACAGTACTTACCCAATGGATAAACAGGTTGAAGACCCGGTGCAAATGTAACCATCAGCACAGCACCAATCATATCCCGTACAAAGATAATAGCCCGACAAGAAACACGACTTACCTGTAAATTCAGTAATAGGTGTGGTTAGTTATTATAAGTCAAAGCAGTATATCATCAAATAATGATTGCTGCAAATTGTAAATGAGTCTAAATAGAGACATGTTCATCTATGCCAGATCCCCATCTCCATTTGCAGTTAAATGGACTCAATTTTTTTCATTCGTAAGACTCTATTATGGACTTATACAGAAATTTGACCTTGTACGATTTATAAGTTTTAAACTACACTGTTTAAAAAACATCGAGAAATTTCATACTGCGCTCGAAAACAATTTTTCGTTTCGAAATAAAAGAGTAAACTATGTACTGTCATGTAGTAGTGTAGTAGATTAGACGGGTGCCACACGTGGAGCAGGATCTGCTTACCCTACCAGAGCATCTGATATCACCCCCAGTTTTTGGTGGGGTTCATGTTGCTCAGTCTTTAGTTTTCTATGATGTGTTTTGAGTACTATTGATTGTCTTTTGGTCTTTTTCTTTTTTAGCCATGGCGTTGTCAGTTTATTTTCGACTTATTAGTTTGAATGTTCCTCTGGTATCTTTCGCCTCTCTTTTAGACGACCACATATATTTTAAAACGACTTGCGTATGATCCTTTTTATCTCTACGAGCAGAGTCGATTCCTAAAAACTAAATTCAAATAAAGGCAACAAAAAAGCATTTAGAATATTACAAATCAACTTGAAGGTAAACAGCAAAAAAAAGGAGAAAAATTGCATTTACTCCAAAATTTCTAGGTGCTTCGGCAGGATAAGCGACTCCTGCTATGCATGCTACACCCGCCATCTGAATCCATAATCAGCCAAAATGTCAGTAAATCAACAGATCAGACAAATTTTCTGGTATCTAAATAATTATGAATGCGAAAAAAGTATTTATAGTGAGTTGACACACAGACACACCGTTTCGGTCAACAAATTCGTTGTGACCGTAAAACTTATGCAGTGTTGATTCGTTTTGAGTCGGTTTTCCATATACCTCTGTTGAAGCAGTTTTTGAGTCAGGAGTCCGTTTAGTGTGAACATATACGAACGTAATATTTAAATTGAGATATTGAAACGCCATTCGATGAGACAGAGGGTATGGTACGCCTGAGAAATTGGATGATGACAATTGGAAAGTTGAAATCTTCACGTTTGTCCAAGCTGGTAAACTTAATAGAATAGAGAATGGAAATGGGGAATATGTCAAAGGGACAACAACCCGAATAAAGAGCAGACAACAGCCGAAGGCCACCAATGGGTCTTCAATGCAGCGAGAAAATTCCGCACCCGGAGGTCGTCCTCAACCGGCTCCTAAATAAAATTGTGTGCTAGTTCAGTGAAAATGGACGTCACCCTTAACTCCAAAACATATAAATGAACTAAAATTAAAAAACACACAAGACCAACAAAGGCCAGAGGCTCCCGACTCCGGACAGGCACAAAAATGCGGCGGAGCTAAACATGTTTTGTGAGATCTCAACCCTCCCCCTATACTTCTAGTCAATGTAGAAAAAAGAAACACATAGCAATACGCATAGTAAAACTCAGTTTAAAAGAAGTCCGAGTACGATGTCAGAATAGGTAATTAAGCTTATTTATACTTAATGGGAGCATTTTTGAAAACAGAAATTGGACAAAGTTGCTATTTGTACCTAGGGATTTTGTCCCTTCTTGGCAGCCCTCAATTGCTAGGGGATTTTCAAGTTATGTGATATGTATCAAATGATTGTTTCGTACATTGAGCATGGCACGCTTTAAGAGCAAAAAACCTTCGCATTATACGTTAAGTATTGTTCATTGAAGGCCGATGCTGAGGCTAAATTTTCCGATTCTACTCAATTCCCCGCATATATTTCCTGTGTCGGTGGAACATTATCAAATTGTTTGCAACATCCCCACCCCCCCCCCCCCCCCCCTTCTTTATCCTTCTTTTTCGTTGTATCTCATCGCCTTTTATACTGATTGGCCTGGAAAACACATTTATGTAAAGAATATGAATAAATCAGCATGATAAAGATCTTAGTACACTCGATGCACAATATTAGCAATCAGAGCACGCGAGACTAACATATTTTGTAGCCAATGCAAATACGTGTTCATAATGCGGGTTATTTTCTTCCCATATATTTTATTATTTTATGATACTTAACCCCTAACGGGAGGGATTGTGCTTGATCTTGTTATGATGAAGACATAATCTTTCAATCAGATTAATTGAGGTCTGGAGCTGGCATGTCAGTAACTGCTAGTAGTTCTTTGTTTAATTATGTATCATTGTCATTTTGCTTATTTTCTTTTGTTACCTATTCTGACATTGAACTCGGACTTCTTTCAAACTGGGTTTTACTGTGCGTATTGATGTTTGGTTGTTTATTCTACATTAGCTAGAGGTATAGGGGAGGGTTGAGATCTCAAAAACATGTTTAACCTCGCCGCATTTTTGCGCATGTCCCAAGTCAGGAGCCTCTGGCCTTTGTTAGTCTTGTATGTTTTTTTTTATTTAAGTTCATTTACATGTTTTGGAGTTTAGTGTGACGTCCATTTTCATTGAACTAGTACACATTTTTGTTTAGGGGCCGGCTGAAGCCTGACTCCGGTTGGTGGCTTCGGCTGGTTTCTGCTCTTTGGTCGGGTTGTTGTCTTTTTGGCACATTCCCCGTTTCCATTCTCAATTTTATCATAAAACGTTTATGAGCATGAAAAACAAATAGGCCTGAACTGAACATATCAATTGTTTGGATATGTTTCATGACAGGAATATACATCTTTCACTTCTACTTTATATTATGGTCGATTTTTGTATTTGTCTTTCATTTTTGCTTATGTGTTTTGTCTATATGCCTTTTTGTTTTTTGTTTGTTTTTATAGTGATTAATATTATAACACAATATTGACTGCTTTACCCCTACTTTTGACATTTTTACCTATTATATGTTTGTTTTGTTCACACATTGTTGTCAATATAATGGAATTTTATGCGACTGTCATATAAGTGAGAGGTTTAGCTAGCTATAAAACCAGGTTTAATCCACCATTTTCTACATAAGAAAATTTCTGTACCAAGTCAGGAATATGATAGTTGTTATCCATTTATTTGATGTGTTTGTGCTTTTGATTTTGCCATTTGATTAGGGACTTTCCGTTTTGAATTTTCCTCGGAGTTCAGTATTTTTGTGATCTAATTTTTTTCTGTTATATAAATTGAACGTTTAGTGCGTTGTAATTCCTGGTAAAATATACCACTTTCTTTAAAATTGTCTTTATCAATAAAATATAGTCACATTGTTTGATAGATCTTATGATTGCTTTAAACAATTTTAAGCGATAAATATGGCAAATATTTTATGCATTTTCTAAAACAGGTAACCAATAAATCTAAATTGTAAAGGGCTTGGTTCGTTAGATGAAATTTTCCAATACTTGCTAAAGCATGATATATAGACATGTATTATTCAGAATATATTCATTAACCTTTATTCTTATTTTAAAGGTGAGCTATGCAAACTAAATGCGCAAAACTGTTAAAAATTTTGAACTTTAAAGCCGAATAAGCTTATAGATCACTGATTTAAAAAGAAAGATAAGATCTTATTCATAGTCTTGTTTATTTGACGTGAATCGTATAAAGTATAATTGGACGACTTGTTCCAGATGAAAATCAATATTAACATAGTAACTTCCTTTGAAAAACCAATGTCATTTACTGGTACGATGATTTAACCGCCTATTATTGTGAATTATCGGGTATTGTTCAGGAATTCGACCTAACATTTGCGCAGAACACTTCAACGAAATTTGTAACAATACCAATCAACTCATAAAAAAGTGTTTGGTAGTGTTTTAAAAAAAAAATGTCTTCTATAACTTATTAACTCTAGATACGAAACAGATAGGTTCAAATTGTAATAAAAAAAAAAAACGTGCTTTTGAAAATTGAAAATACAAACACGCAATGTATATATAAAATTATCGATTAATTGACATTATTCTACAGCCTTACAATTACTCAATGGATCGCAAGAGAAAAAGAATAATATTAAAGGCTGCAAAAAACAACAGCATTTTCTATTTTGTTTTTAATTTTTCAAAGTACAAAATGTATGATCAATCTAGTTTCAATTTAGCTTAAGATTGTGAAAATCGAGAGATTAAAGTATCCTAAACTCAGAGAAAAAAATCAATTTTCACTTTTCTCTAACTGTAATTAATATAACCTTACAATATAGTAACTTGATGCATATAAAAAATCATTGCAGGCATTTACTGATAGTCAGAAAGATAAGAAATCAAATATCAGGGAAGTAAATCTGAACATCCCAGGATAGGTACACACAAATCATTCTTGATTTTTTGTGATGTAAGGATCGATTTAAGATATTATGCATCTATAAAAACATCTGTAAACAAACAAATCTTATATAATTTGATATCAATTTATGATAAAAAGCATAAGAAAATGCCTTGGTTGCCGTTCTGTCAATATCCAGAAACGAAACGTCTAATGCTATTTCCGTAAACAAATGATACGTCATCCGCTTACTCCGGGAACGGGAAATTAACCTATCCACATTCCTTATACAAAACCAAAACATTTAAAAAACAAAGCGTTAACTTTCTTTTCAGGCACACTTAACTCTATAGATAACATATTCGTCAACTTAACATGGTGATTTAATCCGCTTGAGATAATATGAATCTAATTTTAGGTGTAAGTCATTATGAAAAAAAGGTTTTGCAATTACTTGGATTGTTGAGCATCTATATGACCAATAGAAACCTAGAATAATATTCAAATTTGCCTTAAGTCAACCATGCCTCAAGAAAGGACCTTATTTTCTGAATATTTTTTTTAGAACTTAAGAAAAGATATATAATATTTCATGCTAGGAGCAAAGAATTGACAACTAAGCTGGTGATACACTCGGGGAGTATCAGTCCCCACGCAGAGATATCGACACAGAGCTAGAAAAGGATAATTACAAAATATGAATTTGGTTAATCCAAAGCGCTTTTCAAAATTTATAGAAAAATATACATACACTGCTTCAATTTTACAAAGAAGGTTAGTTTATTTGTTAAACTAATTGTATGGCGATAAAAGTTGAACGGGCTACATTTGTAGATAAATTAATTGATACTATAAAAGGTCCATTTGGTATCTTTCGTCTTTCTTTTTGATACTATTGCATTTTTTAAGATACGTGCTAGATTGTCGACCTTTCAATTACAAACATTTAAAGGGTAAGAATTTAAAAGCAATAAAAGGCAGAAAAGTTTTCAGATCATGTTTCACATAAAATTATCTCTCTGTACAATTTACCCTACCTTTCACATTTATCAACGCAAATATACCAATTATGAATAATACGAAATTCATGTTTCTGTCCTATACTTAAAGTTTTGAATGCTATATGCTTAAGCATTCAAACCCTTTTCAACTTAGCTTATACATAATGATATATATTTACTTCCTTTATATGCAAATGACCTCTATCATTGAAAAACTTATCAGATATCGTTTTGAATAATCGCTCCTAATAAATCTGTTTTCAATATTTCCATGGCTTTGATTAAGCAAACATACATTCAGGATGTACATTTTTTATAAAGAATTGGCAGGTAACATTTCGAAATCTAATTTACATGACCTGTTGAACAAATGAATCATTCTCAAATTAATTCATTTACCTAGACAAAGAATTTATCAAAATGTAATGCTAAGCTTGATATCAGGAATGGATGTACCAAGATATAAGGCATCTAAAAAATAGCATCATTTGTTTTGTTAACACATTGTTGTCAATATAATAGAATTTTATGCGAATGTAGTGAAGTGAGAGGTTTAGCTAGGTATAAAACCAGGTTTAATGCAACATGTCCTACTTACGGAAATGTCTGTACCACGTCAGAAATAAGACAGTTCTTTTTCATTCGTTTGATGTGTTTGAGCTTTTGTTTTTGCCATTTGATAAGGGAATTTCCAATTTGAATTTTTCCTTGGAGTTCGGTATTTTTGTTATTTTACTTTTCAATCAATAGAAAAAACTAGAGGTTACAGGCAAGTAGACGGTATCATCTGTTTTAACGGATTGAGTCAATAATCAAAGGCCAGTAAAGTGACGAAATACAACAAACATAACGAAACTGACGAAATGGATAAAAAGAATGCGTATGCAACAAAAAAAGAACATTCAAAACTAAAGCTTAAAAAACCAAACTGTTTTGTTTTATTCAATGTTGGCTTAACCATACGTTATTTTGCTTTATACATTAACGTTGACATAGTATAAATGATCAAATAAGACATTTTATTTGTCTTTGAATACGTATTAATTTGTTAATTTAAAAAGGTATCCATCTGGTATGAGCCAACATCTTTTAAATCAAACAGACTAGGTGATTTTTTTTTTCAGAATTACGACACATTTATTGCAAATTTGCTTATACAATTGTTGATTCTGAACAGTTAAACAAATGTTCTTACCGTCTACCAAAGCAACTAGCAACAGTATGATTGGAATAACGGCATCCATATCTACACCAGCACTGAAGTAAACTTATTTCGAAATAACGATTTAAATGTCTATAATTTTTGATTAATGATTAAATACCTATTGTTCAATGCATAGCTTGTTAAAGCTTGCAAATTGTCCTCCCAAATGCATTTAAACTAAAACAGGGTTTGATTATTGAAAATGAGCAAGATACTGCTTACTATAGTCATTGTTTTATGAATATGTAATAATTGTTTAAAAGTTATTTTGGTCATTTGTGTATCATTATGTAACAATTCAAAGTAACCTGTTATTGTGTATATATATATATATATAAAACGTCTGAATAATAGTCAACGATTTTTCCCACGAGGGCGCTGGATCGTTACGAGTAACGATACATGTACACAATAAATAAATTATATAAACGCCTAAAAAGTGTACACAACAACACCAATAACAAAAAAAGGAACTATAAATGTAATTATTTATAAATATTTCGGATAACAGATATCCTTCATCAGTAAATATGATTGTGATGTTGAATGACTCATATATCAGTCTACTTAAATAAAACTATAACAATCTTGAAATTTATACAATAAAAAAGTCAAACCGAACATCAGGTAAGACGCTTGCACAATTCTAAATATGTGTTAAACACGACATAGGTTATATGACTAATTTCAGCAGAGAGTTCATATATATGCTTTAAATAAAAATAATAATGTGCGATATGAACTAGCACAATTCTAAAGCTTTAACGGTGACGACAGTTATGATGTTACAAGAACGATTGCGTCAATAAGAATTCCAAATAAACAGCACTGAACGATCTAAATTTGTAAATATTTCAAATTTGACAACGGTAGAGTAGTTACAACAGAGTCTGCGTATTTAAACATCGCAAACAAACGGCCGTTAAAATATGATAATAAATTTTGACTAAGGTTAACTAGTTGAACGTGGCTTAGCACTTTTACATCCCTCAAAAAATTAAGCAATTTAAATTGGTATATTCAACAGATTTTAGAGATGAGTAAAGTAAAGAAATAGAAACAGAGACTGTAATAATAAGTAATATAACCCAAATGTGAAGCACTGCATGGAGTCGAACTACATCTTTTCATTTATCCCATTTGGTGCCAAAGTTGTTAATTTTCTTATCCAAAATCTTTCCCGAGTGAGTCTATCCTCCCTAGACCAAGCAGATTTGTGGTCAATGATTGTAATGGTCAGTCGATTGAGATCTGCCTTAGTGTGGCCAGGGGATCTCAAATGTCGACTGAGAGGGAGGTCTGGCTTGCATTGGTAGTCGCTACGATGACCGTTCATTCGTTTGTGAAACGGCTGTTCTGACTCGCAAACATACTGTTTACCACATTTACACTGTAGGAGATACACAACATTTGTAGTCTTGCAATTAACATTGCAAAATATGGTGTATTCTGTACCAGTGGAGTGACTGTTAAAAGTCTGGGTAACCAGTATTTGTTTGCAAGTCAGACATCGTTTGTTCCCGCAATATATATATATATATATATAAGTACGTCTGAACCAGTGACAACTCTACAACAGATTTATCCATCGGATCACCAGCAGTGATGGTGATACATGGCTGTGTACATTATGTATATACAACTCGTCTAAACATCAGCCCATATCTCTAAGAAGCCACTTCTCCCAGTTTCTCAGCATTTCAGACAGTCTGGTCACACACTTGATGACTTTAACCGCATGAAGATCCTAGTGATTGAACAGAACATTCACTGGAGTGATGCCCAGCGACAGGTTTGGGAAAGCTTTTGGATAAAGGAACTAAATGTACATCATCCAAACGGCATCAATAAAAAATACTAAGTTTTATTTTTCACTCATTTTGGGTTGTAAATATACACAGTCACGTATATTTGAGTATTGAGTTTTGTTTTATATTATGATGTTCAGGATTTTGGATTAAATCAATAGACCAAAACTTACCTGTATTATTGAGCTGTTTTTATACATATTATCAGTATTGTTAAAATAATTGACACCGAAGAAGGCTATTTGTTAAGCCGAAATATTTGTCAACACGATTTATTAACAACATCTTCGTATAATACCATCTTATATCAGTATCGTTGTGCAAATCTCTAGACTTATATAATTTTTTTCCTTATCTGCACAGTATCGTCTATTCTAGACGATCCGGTACATAGTAAATTTGCTGGTTGGTCCTTTTTATAGACTTCTATATATATATATATATATATATATATATATTAAATGACTGAATAATAGCCAACGATACATCTTACGGGGCGATGGATCATATAATTATAATACAGTACACTACAAAATATAATATATAACCAGTCTAAAAGGGTACAACATCACCAAAAAATAACAATAAAAAGGAATAAATGTAACTATAAATATTTCGGATAACAGATATCCTTCATCAGTATGATCACGATGTAAAATGATTCTTATCAATCTATTCTGATTATAAAACTATAGCAATCTTGACTTCTATACAAAAAAAAACAGATTTACCAGAACATTATAGAGACGCTAGTACAAATCTTAAATTTCCAAACACGGCGCAACGACATACCTAAAATAAAAATAGTAATAATATGGGATATGAGCTAGCACAACTTAAAATTCCAAAGGTGACGAAGGTTAAGATGTTACAACAACTGCGTGGAAATACATTCCCAACAAACAGCACTGACCGATCTAAGCTTGTGTAATATTTCAAATTTGACAACGGTAGAGTAATTAAAACAGATGCTGCGTATTTAAACACCCCAAATAAATAGCAGTTTGATAATTGAACGTGACTGCGTACTTTTACATCAATCCCAATTGAGTAGAGCCCTGTAATTAAAACTTGTATAATTAAAAAATTCCTTAAAAATGTAGGAGTCTAGTACAGAAGCCGGAGTTACTGGAAACAAATGATGGCTGGAAAAAGAGTGATGGTAGGGAAAATGAGTGAAATATTCTATGTTTTTTTCATTTATGCCCTCTGGGGGAACTATCCTTAGCTTTCTTATCCAAAACCTTTCCCGAGCAAGTCTGTCGGTCCTTGACCAACCCTTGTTGTGGTCTATGATTGTAATGGTAAGGTTTTTGAGATCAGCTTGGGCGTGCCCAGGTGATCTCAAATGACGACTTACGGGTGTGGGGGGGGGGGGGGGGGGGGGGGTCGGGCTTGCAGGTGTAGTCACTTCGATGACCATTCATGCGTTTGTTGAATGTCTGCTCTGTCCCACCAACACAACATACTGCATGCCACATCGACACTCAAGAAGGTATACAACATTTTTGGTTTTGCAAGTTACATTACAAAATATAGTGTACACAGACCCAATGGAGTGGCAAGTAAATGTTTGAGTATTAAGTATTTGTTGGCAAGTAAAACATCGTCTGTTACCACACGACTTGCACCATCCTGCAGTTGAACCGCTTTTATTAGAGGAGACGTCAGCTCTCACAAATAGGTCTTTCAGACTTGCTGGTCTTCGAAAAGCTAAGACAGGAGGATTGGGAAAGATCTTGAATAATTTTGGGTGCTTGGCAATAATTTGCCAATTAGCACGGATCAAATTTGAAAGGTGAGTAAAGGCAGGATTGTATGTTAAAACAAACGGAACTATTTTACTGCGACTCTTCTGTTTGTACTGTAACAGGTCATTGCGGCTGTTATTGTTGGCACGCTTAAACCCCTGATCTATGTCCCATTTTTTATAACCTCGTTTGGTCAAAAATCCGCGAAGTTCCTGTAACCGTTTAGTGACAGCCTCCTCAGAGGAGCAAATCTTCCTTATTCTGAGAGCTTGACTGTACGGGATACTTCTTGTACAGTGTTTGGGGTGACAGCTTTGGGGATAAAGGCACTGATGTTTATCTGTAGGTTTACAGTAGAGGTCTGTTGTTATGACACCGTCCTTTATAGATGTAGTAGTGTCTAAGAAAGATATTTTAGAGTCGGAAATTTCATATGTAAATTTAATTGACTGGTGGGCGTTGTTTGCATGTCTGATAAAATCATCCAATTTTTGTTGGGATTCAATCCATTTCATATCAACATCATCGATGAAACGGAACCAAGAGAGAGGTTTGGATAAAGATGTTGAAATAATTTGTTTCTCTAATTTGCCCATGAAAATATTGGCGAAAGACGGTGCCATTTTCGTCCCCATCGCTGTCCCGTTTATCTGTAGGTAATGTTCACCATTAAAGGTGATATTGTTGCATTTCAGAACCAGAGTAAGCAGCTGGACTAAACATTCGGTAGGTGCTTCTAAAGTGTTGCGCGAGTCCCATATTTCTTTACACGATTGTATTCCGTCGTCATAATATGTTGGTATATAATGAGGTGACATCTAAAGTGATAAGGAGGGTTTCTGGAGGAAGAGGGTTCATGGATTTCATTTTACGAAGATAATCTGTAGTGTCTTGAATGTGAGAAGGAAGATTTTCTACATGAGATCTTAAATGAAACTCTATGAATTCCGAGATTTTCTCAGTCGGGTGACCGTTTGCTGATACAATGGGTCTACCAGGGTTATTAACCTTGTGTATTTTGAGAAGAAGATACAATCGACCAGGCTTGGCGTTCTCTGGTTTTAAATATCCGATTGTATCCTCATCTATGTGACCGTCATTGTGCATGGTTTGTAATGCAGTAAAAATTCTGAAACTAAACTCAGAAGTAGGGTCATATACAATCTCTCATCAGAGAGTTGACGCTCTGCTTCCGCGATGTAGTTAGCTTTGTCCATTATCACAACAGCACTTCCCTTGTCTGCTGGTTTTATCACAATATCATCTCCGTTGTATGGCTTTTTTTTCGTCAGAAGAGGTGTTATAAAACGACGATTACTTGTTGCTAGCTAGATGAATGACATCCGATTTGATTTTGTCGATAACATCTTCCAGTGTAGCAGATTTGCTTGGATTTGGAATCCATGAACACTTCTTTTTAAAATGCGGAATTCTGATTTCTTCCTCAGATTCAGACGTCTCCCTCATTATCCTTGTTACCAAAATATTCTTTAATTCTGAGGGTTCTGGCAAAGTTATTGAGGTCATCTTTAAGTTTCATATTATCTATGTCAATGGGAGTTGGGCAAAAATTCAAACCCTTAGATAGAACT